TGTTAGCACAACCACGTGAAGGGTGGAAGAGAGCCAGAGGCGGTCAAACAATCACTTGGCAGCGAAGTATGAAAGCCATTACCAGCAAGCTCAGCTGCGCTGGTCATTGCCGTCTTTCTGGATGGGGACGCCGAGACGGGTCACATCAATGGTTAGAGACTTTGTCAGACGTGGCCCAGTCGTGCCCTCAATGGCGCTCGTGCATCCAAGCTGTTGCCTTCAATGCATAGCTCTCTTTCCAACCCCCCCAATCGATAGTCCACATACAGTGCCGTATGCACCAATTTATCAGCTTCTGCACCGCTATCTACCCCACTTCTCCAGTCATCGGTAAATGAAACTGTGGCAGCTACAACCACTGCATGACGGGTACGCGGTTATTACAGCTGACAATGATGATGATGACCTATAGTCCATGTATTGTAACTCATTGAAATTGTATTGTTTTTGCGTTAGAAATCTATTCAGAACGACCCTGCAGTTTCAGTCAGGTATGGGCAGTCCTGTGTGTGCACTCTCAGTATCTCGTCTTGTCCCATTTCATTTCAGAATGCCAAAAGGAAAAGTCATTGAAGTTCGTCCGAAGAAGCGAAAATCTGGTCATCGACCGGAGGAACCATCTACACCAACTGAATCCCGTCAGCAAAAGCGTGACCATGACCATACATCCCACTCCAGCGTTGACAGGATACGGTTGACCAAATCCAAGGGACGTTCCCATGGAGAGAAACACTTCCTTGGGGATCTTCCATTTAGTGGGAAGTTACAAAAACGAATGTTTCTGGGTACGATCGTGGCTTGCCTGATGGCAGCCATCGTCAGTATAGCGTTTCAGCAATACACAAAATGGCACCGTGCCTACCTGGTTAAGACTCCCTTGGATTCACCCAAAATAGTTTCCGATGATTCAAGCTCACAAGAGCTGTTTTGGGGCAGCTACCGACCAGGTTTGTATTTTGGCATGAAGCATCGTAGCCCGAGACCGCTAATGGTTGGGCTTATCTGGACCATCCAGGACTACAGGAGTCCACGCTTCCGGCATTTGTGCGATCCAAATGACGGTGTTTTAAGGTAAGTGTTTTCAATTTTTAACCATATTAGTGTGTAATGTATATAGCGCAAAGTGATGTGAATACGAATACTGAAAATGAATTACGAAGCTATTGTTCACCATGGGCGGTCTGAGTGCAAACTACAGTATGGTAGTTTTCTTTATTCCCAGGTCGGGTACCTTGTTCTTGTCTATCCACAGTCGGCTATGAGCCCCGAAGTACCTCATGACCGGGACACTGTTTAGTGATCATCCGGACGTTCAGTTTGCGTTTATGGCAGATGAGTGATCGTGGTCGTTCAGTGTTTTTGGCCATATTTCGTTATCCTTGATTAGTAAATTCGTCATTTCTTCACTAAGACTGACACTTGAGGATGTGTGCGATACAGCCCTTCACTCTTCCAGTTTGTTTCTGTTCTCACCGTACTTGTGTCCATAAATGACCTCGCTAGCAGTCGTAGTTCAATGGCTTTCCTTTCGTTTCCAGAGGAAGTCATCTCCAGGTAGTTGGCATTGTGACTGACGTATACCCTTCATCACGTCCTAGAGATATTCATCAGTTAAAGGCCACGCTTTGAGTTTGCTAAGTCTGTTCACCTCACATGCATTGGAATAGGCCAACTTGAATATATACCAACTTAAACACTCCGCATTCAATCCCTTAGCCTGGCTATAAGTGGTATCATCCATACAAGACTGACGTACGAACTCCGGTCTATGTAATGCATTATCCTACCGCTCTAGGCTGCTATGATACCGCTGTTAGTGTAGACTGAACCAATCATTGGACTGAAAGTTACCAGAGTATCTTGGCTCCAAAATCCCTCACCATGTTTTCCACGCAAATGTCCAAAAACGTACTTGCATTTCAAACGTTCCTCAAATCTTTCTAGTTATAACTGGCTGGAACACGACGGTCGTCGCTTTGGCACACAACAAATAGTTGACCTCGACCATATCATTACTGTTTCATTCGTCAAACAAAACACTGGCGCCACTGGTGGAGACTGGACTATTCGCATATCCGCGGCTGCCAGGAATCAGGTATTTTGTCATATTTGATATCAGTTCCGCCAATTCTATACCGATATATAAATCCAGCTTTTAGTAGACCTAATACTCAGATAGCCGGGCGGTGTTCACAGTTCTTTCCACTAGAATTGGATGTCATCTAGGCTCGGTTATACAATAGTATTTTCATTGTTTCGCGTTCACAGCTGAAGATCTTGACCAAAAAGGAGCAGAAGCTAAGTGAAAGGGGCATAATCCAGTGGAAGAGTTGGACGAAAGCAGGCAGCATAGACATTATCGACGTCATTTCAGGGTTACACTCTTCGGCGTTTCTTGCCAAGCACTAAGAGAATTACGACTATCCGGTCCTGGATGCCTACCACGATAACCGAACCTGAGCTTTTCCTAATCTCCCGCACGTCGTCCGTCTCTTGGTTTGCTCCATGTCGAATAAAACATCGAACAGCACTCTTCTCAATGGATGATCGGACACATGTGATCCATAACCAAGCCGCCTGTTGATATTTTTCACAGTCCATGCACCTGCTTCGCCGTTGCTTACTCATCTGATCGTCTAATCAATAAAAAAACGGATCCAAAGCTATATGAACTACGGTTGTGAAATTTGCTGGAAAATATCAGGGTACATTGTGTCATCCACCCACAGAGACCACCTGCTACAAATGTATGGTAGCAAAGCCGATTTGGTGTGCATTCCGCTTTGGTCGCAAAATTTAAGGTTTTACGAGGATTGCTATGGCATTCGGACCCTGTGATGACGACCAGTTGCTTGCGACCAAAGCCTCTGAGCCTTCAACAGCAGTCATTCTTCTGGAGGACTACCATTCTCAAGGATATACTTCACATTGCTCATTTGAAGTCTTTTTTTTTCGAAAGCCGTCCAATACTTCTGAATAATAAGGACAAGTTACCGGTGTTAACGTCATCCGTGATTGTTTACTCCTCCAGGTGCGTCTGCAATACGTGGATCGTACTACCTGTCAGATTACCACTTACCTCTCCGATTGTTGTCCAAAGCACTGGCCTGGTAACAGCATATATTCATTTGGAAGTCTCATTCTTACCCGCTTGATCGACACAGGTCAAGGGCTAAGTACGAATATAACCTTAAAGGTTATGAATAGGGCCCATCACCACTCGTCTAAATATGTATGCACGAGTAGCCTGAAAACTTCTGAATCAATGTGTATCAGGCTGCGAGCTACCAGTCCATGCAAACAGACAATTTCAGCTGAGGCTTCTCTGCTTAACTGGCCACATGTCTGGAATAGTACTAATGGCCACTGAGATCTAGTATCAGTAGGAACATGACAGCAGTACGTGTGCATCCACGCACATGACCCAAAACACGGAACAACTGCATGAGACTCTTCAATGAACCTTTATTATTACCTGTACCTGGAGTAGCAAGTATCTCATCATTTTTTCTTCACTCAAGGTCCAATTTGCTATTCGGTATTGTTCTGCACAGCGCTATTTTCCGTTAGAAATTCAGGAAGTCCTAGTTTTCCGCTCGTTCCTGCGTGGCTCGCTACTAGAATAAGTCCTGCTGAGAACGTTTTTTTAATGTTTTCCGAGGCCTTTTCACCTCATTGAGGTTGAGGGGAAATATAATGTTTTCAAGGCATCTGCACTCTTGACTTGACAGGAAAATACGAAGAGTACAATTAGTCTAAATGCTGTCCGATGGATCCGCGTGACCCCACATGCACAGACACTACAAGGTCTAGCCACCAATGACTATCAATGACATTGTGGTCTTTAAATCGTATCAGTTTGTTTTGATTGGGGGAGAGATAAATGTTAGGTGCTCCTGAATGCCTGTTAAAGGCTGGGAAGTGGTTCTTTCCCATTCTATTTCTTCCCGTTTTAGCGCCTTAGAAAGCGGTAGTAAAGTCCCCGTGCTTATGTTGGTAACAAATTAAATGCACGTTTCACTGGGAGTCGTTGGCCGTTTTTCACATTAGTCCTGGTGTCAAATATGAGAATTACGAAGGTTAGTACTTAAGGATAACACTCGTTGATTCTATTACCAAAGCTTAACACTCAAGTCTGCTCAATAACACCGTGTTTGTTCTCATCTACTAATTTTCATCCCCATTAATTGATTCAGATAGCCAACAAATCCATTTCCATTAACTTCGCTTTCCGTTTAGAGTCATTTCCTAACTGTATTGTCTCCCAATTTTCACGCAGACGCATTCTACGCCACCACCACTATCTATCATTGTCTATTTGTATTACACGGAGAAGAAGAAAAACTACTATTTCGTCCCTCTGGCGGATGGTGATGCTGTCCGAACAATCAAGGGTAGGTGTTTCTTCTTTTCTTGTTTCTGTAGAATGATGTGTTTGTTTCGTATGTAAGTCTACTTCTGCTTACCTCTAGTCTATCGCGATTTGTGCCCAAAAAACATGATTTTTCCTCGGTTTAAGTGGAAGGTCTCCAACAACTGCATGACTCAGAGGTTATTCTCCACTATCGTTACAGCTCGAACAGCAGCTGTGTCAGTGTCGCTCATCGGGATTGAACATTCTGTACTGAAATTAAGTCAGAGGAAGTCACTGATGATCCAGCTTACACCAACCGAATCCAATCGTTCAACTGTAGAGTTCTTTCTGTGCATTAATGCCATGTGGTCCTTAGAAAGACCTGTGACATATTTTCGGTTGCTCGAGTCCATCTAAATGCCATCAAGTCTCCAACTATGGATTCGAACCATAGGGTTTTTGGTGGGGATCTGTCGCCCAACACGCTACTGACAAAGGATTTAATTGTTTATAGTTTGGATGGGTTAATTGGTTTTGGTCAGGTGGCAGTTGATCTGTTCGTCAAACTTGGCAACTGGCTTGAAAACGTTTACTCACCATTCCAGACGCACTCAACCACACACTGACGACATCTCCTTGCATGGGGACGAAACGTCTGCAAGCCAGTTGCCCAGCTTGGCGAACAGATCAACAGCCGTGTGTGCTGCTGCCCGTCGCCACACCCACATAACGATAGGTGGCCTATTTGAACGCGACACACACTTAAGCATCATACTTGCTTTCAACCGCACCAAACAGCGATGTTTTTTATCTCACAATATCTCCCTGTGGGGACATTTTCGATGCGTTGAAAGGCAGTTTCTTGTTTCACAGAGATCTAGCTTGGCGAACGATCAACAGCCGTGTGTGCTGCTGCCCGTCGCCACACCCACATAACGATAGGTGGCCTATTTGAACGCGACACACACTTAAGCATCATACTTGCTTTCAACCGCACCAAACAGCGATGTTTTTTATCTCACAATATCTCCCTGTGGGGACATTTTCGATGCGTTGAAAGGCAGTTTCTTGTTTCACAGAGATCTAGCTTGTCTCTTCAGGCACCACAGTTGAACTGGGGGAGCATCAAATCCACTTCCACTCCACAAAGCGCGCTCGCCAAACCAGCTTTTACATGACCCACATTCCAAGTGAAGATGCTGTAATGCAATCATTATATTCTGGCTTGGGAGTCAGGAAGGACACAAATATGCTAACTCTGATACATCGTCCGGAAAAGTTGAACGAGGACGTGTTCCCAAACGCGTTTTTCCACGAAGTGTCCGTCGATCCGCCAGTGATGACTGATCCGTTCGAGGCTGCTGATCCGGAACATACTGTACTCGAGATAGAGTTTACTCAATCCGGTCGCTCTGGTGGTTTCCTCGTCGGACGAAGTTTCACTGAGCAGCTTGCATCACTCTCAGCAGATTTCCACAAACGATTTGCTCAACGTTTCCCTGTCGATTTAACCAAGTTTACAGAGAGACAGGCGAGTCGTTTACTTTTGTTAATGCTTTGGTCTATTCGTCCAGGCGTCTCTCCGCCCTGAATAATTCCGAAGTATTTTACGTACATTCTGGTTGTATCCCAGCTTTCATTTAGAAAGGGCTCTTTGATTTCGGTATCTCACTCTAATCACAGATTTTTGGTGTTTTCTTCTGACTAGTGAGTTCAAATTTACTAAACTTTTGGACCAGGTAAAAATTGACCCCATTACTGACACGCATTACTTCTCACTATTCAGCTGGTTCACTATTCACTGAGGAGAAAACTCAGCAATAACTATGCTCGCTAGCCCTTAATTTTTCATGCTGTCTTTGGTTTCGAAGATGTTCTACGAGTTCAGGTATTCGAGAATCGCACACGTTCTTTTTAGAGGCGTTACCTGACGGTTTGCTGTGTACGGCTTGTCTGCATACTTTCTGGCTGTATTGATACTTTAGATAAATTCTTTGTGCGCCATCCGATTCTTCGTCTCTTGGAAGTATAGCGGACAGTCCCGATTCTCGTTAAGTTCACTTTTAGCAATGCGTTAATGTATTCGTAGCTCGGGTTGGTTAATTGGCTGTTGATCAGGTAGTACTGGGGACGAGGTGGCTCAGTGGTTAGGGCGCCAACCTACTGAAGGTCCGTGCTTCGGACCCGACTTCTGCCCCTCGACTTGCCCCGTCTAGGCTTGGGCAATCTGGCAGTATTCCAGCCCTCATGCTTCCTTCGGGTGGCATGGCAGCTAGACACCAAAAGGATGTTGCAGCTGAGAGGGAACACAGGTGATACTTGATCTCTTCGCTGAGCTTGGTAATTGGCTTGCAAGTGTTTCGTCACCAATCGTGGAGACAGTGTCAGTGCGCGATTAAGTGAGCCACCGTGCACTAGCACTGTCTCGTCGCATCGTAACGAAACGTTCGCCTAGAATATATCGAGTGCCATCCGATCAAAAGCCAATACTTTCACTGTCCATCCGGAATCCATAGTTACCTTTCATCCCTCAACGGTTTTCTGCATTCGGGAAGCGTGCATTCAAAAACTTGCCCAGTACAATGATCTCCCAAAAATAGGCTACTAAAAGGAGGTGGGTTACCCTGGTGAAGTACTGTATAGGATATGAAGCTAATGCACCTAGAAAAATCTCGCAAAAAATGTGTGGTCTTCAGAAATTTTTTAAAAATAAATTGTTCAACAGCTCCACTTAGTTTTATCCAGCGATATAAACACAACTGAACTCATACTTAATATCTCTACTTTTAGACGTAAGTCTCAGTCATTGCCCCAGAGCAATCTGCTTGAGTTCGTCGGTTGCCAGAATATCACTTGTATCGTAGTTTGCGGCTTGTCGTATGTTTTGCTTTCGTTTTTAGACCATCCTTAGCGGAATCTCTATTCGTCTCCAACTTTCTCTTAAGACAAGTAGTGTAGTCATCCGAAATCGATATGGACTTGTGACAAAAAGCCCCTTGTATCTTATAATATGACCCAAAAATCATCTTAAAAGGGTTATCATTTGAGAATCGGCTTTCACCATAGGTTTCAACAGTTCCCACTTCAGATTACCAATATTTCGCAACTAAACCTCACTCATCTCTCCAGTTTTTGTATTCCTGGTGTACCCTGGCCCCATATACAGAAAAGGAGCAGCAACTAATGCTTAGCGGGTGAGGTCGCCCAATCGCTTCTACTAAAACTGTCTTCGTTCGAGCCCATCGCTGGCGAAAACTTCGCGGGTAACTAACCATGCTATGAAAGCATGAACTTTAAACGGCCCCACTCAAAAGGCATTCAGCGGATCCTCGTGCTTTCCTGGTTAGGGCTCACCTGATTTCGCCTGAAGATTGTTGGAAACTTTAGAGTACAAGACACATAGCTTGAAGCTCTAGACAGGCTGCTAGCTAAACGTTTGTCTGTCGTTTTGCGTTTGGTTTGTGTTGGGTAGGGATTCCCAAAATATGCTTGATCAGTTTCACAAATGGCCTGTAGCTGCGGTGTAGTGTTCCAAGGTGTTTATTTCACCATTGTTCCAAGTTGAGAACAACTTGTTCTTTGTGGCTTTCCTCAAGGTCGTTAGCCTTTCTCCTCGCATTGCCATACCTTCGGAATTTTAGTTCGCCCATCATTATTGTACGATTATTAGGCCTTAGTACCTCCTATTTGTGCATTCTCACCAAAAACCATCCTGTCTCTCTAAGCACATGGCGTGGTGAATGACACAAGTTGTAAATACTAAGGCCTAATTATCGTACAATAATGATGGGCGAACTAAAATTCCGAAGGTACGGGAATGTGAGGAGAAAGGCTAACGACCTTGAGGAAAGCCACAAAGAAATAGTTGTTCCTGTCTCTCTAAACACATAGCGTGGTGAATGACACAAATATTCCATGATAGCCAACTGTGGCTATGATTGCGAGCATTCCAACTGAGGAACGAAAGACAGCGCGAGAATAGGTAAACTCAGATTTGAGTACTAATGATTTGAGGACATGAAAGTTTGAATCAGTTGGGGCGTTTGGAAGCCGTCGGCGCGCTGTATTGTGTTCCAACCTTGCGTTGTTCAAACTTGTCGACCGTACCTGGGGACATGTGGTTTCTGATATATTTTGCCATAGGTCATACGGTTCATTATCCTTCCTCAAGGGTAAGATCGCTTCGTGTATAACCGAATTTCCAGGGGAGGGGTGTGAGGAGGCTCCTTCAAAAATCAAAACATTTCTGGCAATGAGAGACTGAGATATTCAGAACATCCGTTGGGCAAGACAGCTGTGCATTCGTTATGAAAAGCTCAACCTGGATGCTTCAGATATCCCACCATACTAAGCTTAGCATAGCCTGAGGAAGTAAAAGAAGACAGTTCCTATAGGAGAGCTCGAGTTGGCTAATGGTTAAGGTGCCAACTCACTGACCGGAAGGCCTGTGGGTCGAACCCAACCATGACACCTCGACTACTCCTGTCTTGGTCGACCAACCTCGTGGTGTGGTAGCTAGGCACCGAAAGGGTGTGACAGCTGAGCAATCTCTCGAAGCGAAAAGGAGTCGTCTGACAAATTTGGATGGAAAGCACACTTCATATTCGTGCGTTGACGACACTGACTAACTGTCGTTTCGGAGTTATTCCCCGTAGTTCAGTTGAGAATATCACTTTTGGTCGGGACAACACATCCACACACATCGCATGCTTCACAAAATTGTGGTTATTGTACTGTAATTATTTATTGGATTTGTTGACTCATATTCTGGGCCTGGAGCTCCTCAGCGAGGGGGTGTACGAAGAAAATCGTGTTCTTAACGGGTCTAAGGGTTTGAAAGCAAAACTCAAGTAGAGATTTCTGTCCGGATTTGATGATGACTATATCAAACAACGCCTAAATCCTGAAATACAAAAATTAATACTGTTACGTCTGTTGACCATGAATTCTGCAGTGTTGACAACCCTAATCATCGGTGGCAGCTTCAGAGTAACTCCACACGTAGGAGTGAGCGCCTAACAGAATTTGCCTGGTGCCGTTCTCTTACCGAACTTTTACCGGCTTTCGTAACGTTTTCGTGGTCTCTATTCTGGCCAACCGACCAACCTCAGGGAACCGGGTTCTCGGCTCCGTTGGTCACCTGTCTCCAATCTTCTTAGACTGTGTTTCTCACTTTGATTAACTGTTCACCTGACTGGCTTACCGCTACCTGTATATTACTATTATTGCTGTTATTAATGTTTCAAGTGTTTCAGTGTGAGCACAACCGGACTCAAGAGAAACGTTGCCCAGCAATAAATCTACCGATTGTCACCAAACTTTTTCGAAAACAGACTCAAGTAGCTCTTTCAAACATAGGTCTCTTTCACTTTGCACAACGAGTTCCTTATTCATCCACTTTCTGCTATTTTTCGATAGTATTCATTCTGCTGACCTGAACTGTTTTACTCTACTGTACATTCATCTACCCGAAGTGGTCAAAATAGGTAGTTACTGCCCCAGCTTACAGAATGAGTATGGCCGTTTTCACATACTGCAGAACAAAACACCCAGTGAGGGCACACAATTAGAGTATAAACTGACGGTAATGTTTTTCAACACCTCTTATTCTCCCTTGCTTTATGCGTTCCTGTCGTTCTAAAATCCACTTTTCCCTGTTCTGTCACTCATTTACTCTTTAGGCCAACCTCTCTAAGGTCGCGGTTAGCAATCTCCTTGGTGGTATCGGCTACTTTTATGGCCATTCTTTGATTCAATCACCTCACACCGGCCCAGAACCAGTTGAAGGCTGGTCCGCACCGTTATTTACCGCTACACCTTCGCGTTCGATGTTCCCACGTGGATTTCTATGGGACGAAGGTTTCCATGGCCTTGTTCTGGCACGCTGGGATCCGGAATTAGCCATGGAAACTGTCGGCCATTGGTTAGATCTGATGAATGGCGATGGGTGGATTGCACGTGAGCAGATCCTGGGACCCGAAGCACGATCTCGCGTGCCTGCACAGTTTGTCGTCCAGCATGATTCGGTCGCTAATCCACCGACGTTGGTTTTGGTCATCGAGGTGAGTATGTTGTGTGCACCTCAGTTGGTCAAACTTTCAGTGTCAGCATAAACAAGGGCAAGTGTTTTTTACATATTCGACGGAATGAGCTATACTAAGCATCATCCGTATTTTTGTTTTTCTGTTTCCCCTGGGTCACGAACCCTGTTAGTTTGAAGAGGAAGCGAGCAAAACAGTTCCGTCTGCATTTCTGGATCCTGCTCTCCCTGAAACTACTAGGCCTTTGGAAGCGCAGTGGTCCTAGTGTAAATTTCAGAGCAGTGTGCATTTTATGGAGCTTTGAATATAGCCCCTCTGGTCGTTAGACTCAGCAGGTGAATTCATCTACCGAGCTCGTCTTCAACCCTACTACTCGGCCCCGTCAGAGGTTCAGTTTGTTTTTCAACTTCGTTTGCCCGGGATGTGGTCCTGGCTAACCCCAAATTATTCGTCTCACAACCATAATTTTTGCTCGTTTGTTACGACGAGAAATTCAGGTTAGAAGGTCTACGAAATAAACGTGGATCTCGAAAACACTTTACATTATTATTAGTTTGCTTGATTGGAAGTTTCACTATCCATGCGAGTTGATAGCTTTGTTACCATATTCGTGCAGCTATTCATCATCATCGTGTGAACACTGGTGTGTGCCTTTGCTTGATCCTACTTTCCAGCATCTCACAAAACGTAATGAATACCTGTGTACTCTGCAGTACAACATCACAGTAGAATTGCGTCCGTCGAATTAAGATGATGTGACACAAAATACTCTCAGTCTGGATTTGGGCCGTTTGCTTTGATACCCAAAAACGCTCGTGTCGTGGACATCTTGTGTTAAATTCGCTAGACTTTTAAGTTGGTACAGTCCCTTCTGTGCTTAAAAGAAAGGTAGTTGTACTTTCATGTTGTTTCTCCGAGTAGTTTGAGTCGTTAATTTCGTCAGCTGCTCTTCAGTTTACCATTACATGCACGGGGGAGCACCACGATAAGGAATCAGACATTTCGTCGCAAGTTACTGTATTATTGAAGAGACAGTTTTTAATTATGTTGAACACTGTGATGAAAATTGCCTATCCGCTATAGCGACTCATCCGTATCGAGGAAATTCATACGAGTATGACAGCAAATTAGTTATTTTCAACTGAAATTGGATGGAAAAAATTGAAAATTGCTGTGGGAATTTCATCATAATGTAAAATGACATTCCTCCGAAAGGATCATTTTTTATAAGTGGACTTCATGGGACTTCTAGGGAAGCCTCTTCTGACCGTTATGAAGAACCCAGTCTTGTTCGGTCGATTAAGCTGTTCTTTACACAAAAGGGCATTTATTTATGCTTCCCGCGAGCTTTATCTATATCCAAGGCGAGGAGTTTCCGAAAAAATTGCACACAAATTTTTGGTCTATGCATCCGGAAAGTCCAGGTAATTCGTTCACTGATCCAATAATCTGAACCCTGTCTAGGCTTGGGCAACCTGGTAGCATCCCAGCCCTCGTTCCTCTTTCGTTTGTCATGGGGGCTAGGCACCGAAAGGGTGCTACAGCTGGACGATTTCACTAATGCGATGGTGTTAACCGAAGAAGTAAAGCTGTTCGCGGGTTTTTACGTAAACTTATCTCAGTACCCAGTCAGACCTTGTCGTTTAGCACTCACTGACTTTGTCGAGGATGATGATCACTTTCATCATGCTAGTCTGATCGCGTACATCACCTAGCGTTGCATGCAGTTTGTGGATAAGTGGCCAACTTTAATTGACACCAGGCCACTCATTCTGTCCAACACATAATAAACCTCCATAACATAATTTGGTGCTATCGCGATACATGTATATCTTTGTAATGTACTGCTCATAAGGTTTCTGAAAATCCGTCGGCAGCACATGACCGGTCTCGCCCTTTTTGGAACCCATCAGGTAGGTGCAGTCCCCGGGTTTCCGTCAACCTTGTGTCCTACTTGAAACCAAATTGCACGAAATTAGCGAATATACACTCATTTGAAAACTAAGTTGGTTTTTCGAGAGACTCATCTGGAATCCAGCTGAATATCTCCTTTGTGATGTTCTCAGGCAACTGAATGAGGCGGACCGGTGCAGCACATTCAGTTGCCTGAGAACATCACAAACGAGAGATTCAGTTAGGTTCCAGATGAGTCTCTCGAAAAACCAAATTAGTTTGCAAATGAGTGTATATTCGATAATTTGCTGCTCTTCTGACTTCAATCTGGACCATAGAAATTAGATTCGCATGCGAAATAAGGTTAGTAGTTAGCTGGTACGACAAGGACGGACCGAAACCAGCATATAGTTCATCCGAACTACTTAAGACTGTGGCTTCGTGATTCTGACACTTTGGCATGCAAAGCCCAGCCCATGAGTTTTGCTGTATACGGAATGCCCCAACTCACAAAATACTACAGCGTTTGAAAAATGAGCTCTGTAGATAGGTTCCCAGGTCCCCTACATCACGGTAACTCTAACTACCGTGAAACATTAGGATATCCAACAACAGTGATGCCAGAGTGAGATAAGTTAGGTGGGGTGTATAGTGTAGCTCTGTACAACCGCAACTATTTGACCGACAGAAGTGAGATTCGAACTTCAAGATTCAAATAAGATTCCTCTTAGTCTGTGTCTTACGTCAAATTTTCACGCTTCATAGGGATGTACCAAGGAGCACCGTACAGCGGAACCTGTCTTCGTCTAATGACCAATCATTTTGAACGTGTTTACATCCACTTGTTGACAGTACTGACCATCCGCTGTATGGAGAATAGGAGATTTTACCCGTCCACATTGAGCTGCTAGTTTCAAGAAATTGAATTTTATTCCCTTAGTAACAAGCGCAAATAAAAATCCGACAACTTCATTGAACTGGTGACACTGGCACCAAACAGTCAAAAGAAAGACTACGATGTTAACCCGAAAAACCCTGCTTACTTCGCCCTCCGTCCCTTGAGGCGGGGGCTTGCGTAAAACCCTGCCTGTTGCCCACTGTTAGACATATGTCGCCCAAAAATACATCTTGGCTCCCAAAGTCTGTGTCAGCTACTGTTTCCAGCCGGAAAGAGCGAAGCGTGGCTACAAAATGGTCTGTTAGGCCTATGGTTCAGTAAAAGGCTTCAAGTGGAAACCCCACGGGCACGTTAACGGTGTGTGCAAAAGCTTCATCGGGCAGTCGTAGCACTTGGGCTTGCGTTGCGGCAACACCGAACCACATACTGTCTAGCGCCATTATTATTTTTGAATAAATGGCTTCCCTTTGGTTCACAAAATTGTAAACATTTCCCTCTGATGCTGCTTCAGAAGGCATTCCTTTCAAGACCACTTAAATCAACCCATTCGCCTCAGTCTGCACAGGCGGACCTCCGAGGTTTCGTCAGCTTCTGCTACTCGCGTGGAACAATACCTGCTGAAAGAGAACTGTCAGCTGTTGCCGCCTACGTTAATGGACCTTGATGCCCCTAACTTTTCTTTGTCACCGTGATCGAGACGAAATTTCCGACGCTACGAATGATGCGACCTTTAATGCATCGATTGAAACAGAACAAGAGCAGCCGGATGTTTTCTGATGACATGTCTTTCTGTCAAGATTCCACATTCCCCGTCTCTGCATAGGTCTAGCCAAGTAAAGGATGTGAGGACCTCTCACCTAAGTCTCACCTCGTCATATGAAAACAGGGACTGATTTCTATCCCTGATGACCAATTTAAAAAGGAGAAAAATGCAGTGGGGATTTCCATATCTGACTCGAGTCTCACTGTTAAAGACCTCCATTTCCGAAATTAAGCAAAGGCAGAGTTCAGCACTGACGATGTCACCCCGATTCGGGATGAAAAATTCGCATTTCCATTGGCAAGCTGTGTGAACAGACCAACAACCAAGAGAGCCTATCCCTGATGCCAATTTAAAAAGGAGAAAAATGCAGTGGGGATTTCCATATCTGACTCGAGTCTCACTGTTAAAGACCTCCATTTCCGAAATTAAGCAAAGGCAGAGTTCAGCACTGACGATGTCACCCCGATTCGGGATGAAAAATTCGCATTTCCATTGGCAAGCTGTGTGAACAGACCAACAACCAAGAGAGCCTAGCTCACCATTTTAGGGATAGAGACATTGTCAAACATGGCCCAGTCGCGCCCTCAATGGCGCTCATGCATCCAAGCTATTGCCTTCAATGCATAGTTCCTTCTCCAACCCCAACCCCACTTGACAGCCCACTGACAGTGCTGGGTTTATGCGCCAATTTATCAGCTCCCGCCTGCAATGCGTAGCTACTCCCCCCCCCAAATCACCAGTGAACGAATCTGCGGCAGCTACNCCTCCAAATCATCGGTGAACGAAACTGCGGCAGCTACAACCACTGTACGACGAGTACGCGGTTATTACAGCTGACAATGCATGAATGGCCATTTTATGGTTATCGAAAACTTTCTCATTTCTTCTGCGCTTCATTTGATGTCGATCGCCTATCTCGTTTAGTGGAGGTGCGTTGACGGGGTGAAGAACGGTCGTGTTAGTTAGTCGAACTCATAGCGTTCCATCAATCATGGGCGCCTTTTTTCTAACACCGGGTGACACTCTGGTTAGACTGTTATAGCCTCCATTACAATGCAGTGATTATCGTATGCCACCACTTGACTGTGTTAAAGTAATTAATTAAATTAATTGCCTTGAACATGGAGCACTCTCAGCGTCGTCCCTTGCACTTCTCGACATTTTTACACTATTCTCTTCAGAAACCGTGCGTATTTGTTCAAACCGTGAAACTTGGGCTATTTCGCTCAACGGGTTATCACAAATGGAGCTTCGTTGTAGCTCACTACACTAGGCTCCGTATTTGACCGAAGTGTTGTGATCTTCCAGTCAAACGTGGTCGTTTATTCACCTTATTGATTGACTTCCTCGTGTGTTCGATAGCACAAGTCAAACACATTTCTGATTGATGCTAGCAATATCCAATAATATTGTGGCATAAATAACATGTTACTTTCCATATACCTGGAACCATGACTATACTGGAATAGTGGAAAGGGGTGTGAAAACCGGAGACCGGTTTGTGAGCAAACTGAAATGTGAACCGGTCACTTTTTGCACACGTATTTGCCTTGAGCCTCACACAGTGTGCAACTAATTTAGATGCCAATATCAGCGTACATTGATGGATGGTTTTCAAGTTTCCAATAAACTGTTTTCGACGAAGGACGTGAGGTCGATGGGGAGAACATAGACGGGTTTGGGAACTGCGAGTTAGTGATTCCGATATTTGCACACTTGGTTTATTGGCCAAAACAATCCGAGCTCGGGCGTTTCCAAAGAACACAGGAATGGGATCAACGTGGTCCCAAAGACCAGTCAAAAGTTGTAGGTCCATTTTTGGAAAACCTCCACCCTTTGTGGTGAAAGCTTCGGATCGGTCGAAACTCAGTTTTCCGCTGTGAACTCCAAAGATAAGCTCTTCCTTGGCGTGTATTAGTATAATCCCCGACCATGTTATTTTATTGGCCTGTTTGCTGTAGTTCGTTTGGCGAATGGCTACTTGACAATACATAATCGCGCTTGAAATGTCGTGCTTGTCACGACTTTAATGAGAGTGGTATTCGTCTCCTTCAAAACCGGGTGTTGCTGTAACACTCGGTAGCCATCTTAACCGTCCATGCCCCAATGCCTGAGGTGCGGTTTCGGCTTTTTTGGGTTGTCGTTCTATTGACTGGTTATATAAAGTTATGATAGACAGGATAGCATAGCGTTTTCCGTCGTCTAATTGCGCCATTCTTTCAACGAACCATTACTCATACCCAACTATTTCCTCTGAACGGTAAAACCACTCGTAAATGTAGCTTCACAATCGTCTGTATTAGGTTCCACCATGAATCCCTCCATTGGTGGAACTCGAGTAAATGCTCCAAGCATTGCTCTTACCTAAGAGTATCCTCGCCACCATGTTTCTCTCTTTTTTGCAGGCACTCATTGAAAGCATTCCGAGGTTTACGGCTGACGAAGCCGCACGTTTCCGACATTGGTCTACCCTGGTTTTGCCCCGACTGCACAAATGGTATCAGTGGTTCAATCGCACTCAGGCCGGGCCCGTTCCGTTGAGCTACCGATGGCGTGGGCGTGATCCAAAAGCAATTCATCAATTAAATCCTCTGACTCTCAGCTCGGGTACGCCTGCCATTCCCCCGTTTATTCTTCGCTCTGTGAACGATGGCGTCAATCTGCAATAATGTTTGTAGTTTGTTGAACTTGCACCTTTGTGTTGAAGCTTCGACCAACGACGTTTCCGGTCATGCTTCCTTTGGATTAAGTTTCGTTTACTCATCCACCATCCCCATCTATCAGTTTCACGTGTCGCCCGACAAACGACCGAATTCTCGGCTAATTTCAATCCAGTCACAAGGGATTAACTGACGTATAAGAATGGCATATCGGCTGTGCTTATAACAGTCTGCTTTAAATAAGTAATCCGTCAATTAAATTTTGTCGATGCCCCCTCACAGTATTTTCCTTTCTGAAGTCAACCAACTATTCGCGAATGAGGAAGTGTCTTTTTTCAGTTTTGGATTGGTCACTGCCTTGATAACATACTCTTTTCTGAATTAACAGCTTCCTGCCCGGCGAATTTCTCTGTTTTTCTCTGAGTTTCCAGATGAATACCATAGTTTCCCATAGTTTAGCTTCTTTCATCGATTGGCTCCCACTTAGGCTTCGCCTGTGAGTTGCATGTAGTTATTTTGTATTCTCTATCAACCACCCTCAAACTACTGTTGTACTCCCCTCAGTAATACTTTCGGGGATTTCAGATTGTCTCTTCGATCAGGATGTTTTTAGTGAGAGTTATTCCGGTAAAAACGGTGACGCACATGTCTGACACCAGGTTAATCGCATTCTATTCGTATCTGGCTGTTTCAAACAGGCTTTTTGACGATAGGGTATATGACTATAACCTCATGTGAGGCGGATGCCCCCGTGACTGATGCGAGCCATCGTAACACGCTAGGCTGTATAGCGATCCTCAAGTCTTCATCTTGGCCGTTACAGAATGACAGTTCTTTTCATTTCGACAAACTCGGAAAAAAACCATCAGGCGTGACAATTCGATACAGTAACAGCAATTGTAATCGTTCGAAACACCTGTCCAGGATTTCGCAGTCTGTTCTTTCATCTTATCCGTCAGCTTTATTATCGTTGTTGCAACTAGACAACTGATGTTCTCTGCCTATCGAAGACCGAATTCTCGGCTAATTTCAATCCAGTCACAAGGGATTAACTGATGTATAAGAATGGCATATCGGCTGTGCTTATAACAGTCTGCTTTAAATAAGTAATCCGTCAATTAAATTTTGTCGATGCCCCCTCACAGTATTTTCCTTTCTGAAGTCAACCAACTATTCGCGAATGAGGAAGTGTCTTTTTTTAGTTTTGGGAGAATAATTACCTCCAGAGAGAAATCTGCGTGCCTCTTCGATCGAGGTCACCCTTAAAGGGTGTATGCGACGTTTGGAATGCTTGTATGTGAAGAGAACGAACGCGTGGCAATCTATGTTGGTTGCTTCGATTCTCCGTTGAGGAGATTTCTGTCTATTTTCAGACCATGTCGCTATTGTCTCTCTCTCTCTCTCTAGCTTCTGATTGTTCCTTCTTCTTGCTTCTAGGATTCGACGACTTCCCCCGTGCCTCACATCCAACAGACTCAGAGCGCCACCTGGACCTTCGCTGTTGGATGACTGTGTTTGCGCGCACAGTATCCCGGCTTGCTTCTCTGGTGGGACAGTACTTGCAAACCGAGTCAGGTGCTAGTAGGCTACAACGGCTTGAAGAAGCCCGAACTTTGGCTACACACTACGGGCGGTGGGCCGATCTGCTATCCAACATGGCCAATTTGGATGAGTTACATTGGTCCGAAGTTGTTGGACGGTATGCAGACTATGGCTTGCATACTGATGCTGTTCGTCTAGAAGTTCCTGAAACACCTGCACAACTACATCAAACTCCCCCTCTGGAGCCGGTAGGTTGTTAGTTCATTGGTAAATAAGTTTTTCACCTTATTTCTAGTCGTAAGCCTGCCTACTCTACACTGACCGTTTTGTCATCAGTCTACTGCGTGATAGATTGTAATGCTTGCTTCCCAATAGGCACGTGACATTATATGTTAGTGTCGCATAGGTTGACCAATGGGGGAGAAACATACAACATCTAGGGCAAGGTTTTATTGCTCAGCCTTCCAACCGGCTCATCAAGAGCAAACTAATCACTAAAAGGCAAACGAAACACGGGGATGAGCATCCCAAGGATCGTTGAATCAACCAAAGTGAGTCGGTCATATCTGTGGACTTCAGCTGATGCCCCATAGTCCCACAATTGATGTTCACAAGTAACGATCACACAGTGGATGGATTGTGTAAACTGCCAAAGCCCTCTCTCAGCTTCGTTGTGTATTCATGGATTAGCTCTTTTGAATTTTCTAAACCTGGTCGAACAAAACATCGCGCTTTATCAGAGCGTGCCGCCCAATGACAGTCCTTTTTGCAGCTTTTAGTATTGCGAGGAATTTTGGGCTATAAAGCGTGCATGTCTTCTGTGTTGTGCAACGTGCACTCTCGGCAATGCACCCCTGCAGCGGTGGGATCCTCGGGTTGTACTAAGCGTCCGCCAAAAGGGTCGTTAATGTTGAAAAGTGTTTTTTGCCTCCGATCATGATGAAGCCATGTCCAATCGAAACTATGAGGCATCGTTCTTCGATAGGAAGGTGAAATCAGTAATAATAACGTGTGATAAGAAGCGCAGGTATTTCTTCAGATTTATGCGGCTGAAAGTGTCTCGTAAGAGAATTCCTTTGACTGAATCCCTGCAAGACTGTCGTTTTGTTCCAGTGGATTTTGTGTGAGCCAACTTTTCAAGTGTCCGTTGTTTCCGTGTGCCTAGGGTTGTTTATGGCATGCTTTCTCCTAATGGATAGATACGCCCCGGGAAAGAAGGCCGCGCTGCTCCTAACATCATGGCACTGTTGGTCCCTCAAGCAAAATTGTGCATTCTGCAACCGTCTTTCCTCATCACTTCCATACCTGTGGCAGATGACAGTGGTCAAGAGTCAGCTACTAGTTTTCGAAGAGCCTGAAGTGACATATCTGGATACCACATTACTTCATGCAGTCCTTCTTGAGCCAATGCATCTACTTTTGGAAAAACCGCACTGATACTAGCGGGCTAGTTTAGACGCAGAACGGTTCACACTCTGGGAAACAGGACCCACATTCTAGTTCACTGTGTTACAATTCATCCAGTCGTCTCCCCCATTTATCACCACAGGTGACCATTTCATCCTCTACGATTTCTTTCTACAATTTCTTCGGTGACAATCAAAGCTATATTGTCTTCCTTATCTTAGAGAGCCTCGGCTGAACATCCTTCAGGGGCTTGTCAGCATTGCTTGTGTTGGTAATGTGTCGAAATATTGGTATGTATTTCTCTGGTTTACTTTTCCACAGCGGAAGCCAGTCCGTGTTATCGACAAACCTCCAGCGCTACAGTTGGTCACCTCTTCGTACGGTTACCTGAATTTGTTCCCTTTATTACTGCGAATCATTCCACCTACGTCCCCTCGGTTGCCTCGTCTCATGGCCGATTTGTCCAACCGTGATCTATGGACTGATTTCGGAATCCGATCGTTGGCTGCGTCTACCGCGTTCTATCGCAAACCAAATACACCACAGGACCCACCTTATTGGCGTGGTGCGATCTGGATAAATATGAACTATTTGGCTGTGCGTGCCCTCCGATACTATGCGACCAATCCAAAAACCCCAGCCGACATTGCGGCGGAAGCCAGTCGGTTGTCTGGTCAGCTAGCACAGAACCTTGCTCGGACTGTTCTAGGTGAACTTGAGCGAACTGGCTTCCTATGGGAGCAATTTGATGATAGTACTGGCCGAGGTCAACGCGGTCATCCGTTTGCCGGCTGGACAACTTTGATAAGTTTGATCCTTACTGAATAGGGTCTCATTCTGTGCTTTTACGCCCTCCCTCGTCCGGTTCCTTTCGTTTTTTTTGTGGTTCATGTTGTGTTGACTGTTTTTTCTTGCTCTTTTATTCTCCTTGTTTACCGTACATTTATTGTTGATGATGTTTTGGATTGAAGTACACTTATAGGACATTCCTGAATTATTCTCAGGTGATCTGTTCAAACTTCCTGGGGAAAAGGAGGAGATGCTATTTGTTTCTCGAATACACTTAGTTACCATAGTATACTACGCGATACTGAACTGAATCACAACCAAATGGGACTCTTCGTGGACCGAGAATGTGTACCTTTCGTTCAAGTTTGTGGTCTCAAACAGTGGCACGGGTCGCACCGGTTACCTAACTCGGCTCCGAAATCCGAAGATCTTATTTACCATTTTGGTGAAGTAGGCCGTTTCGAAGTTCGGGACTTATGGTACACAGTATTGTTGGGTTTTTTTCTCCGAACAAATGGGACTCCAGGAGCGTTCCTATTTTCTCAGTCCTTTTGACCAGTCAGCTGTCTTCTCCATTAAATGAAGTTAGGATACAGATACTTGCGTTAGTGATATTTTTTTATTTTGTTGGTCGCAGCTGCGTGCAAAGTAGCTTGTTCCGTCATTCTTAGGCTACAATTTATCTGCCGCATATAGCTGTACCCTGAGGGTCGCAAGAGATTTCATGCCGTTATTTGCGAGATTCGTTGAATTTCAATTCACACTACTCTCATCCAACTAATCCAACCGATTTGATGGGATTACTCTGTTTGGACCACACCGAAGTCGGGTTTCACTCTCACTGGAGCTCATCAGAATCTATGGCCTTGGTCTTGCCGAGAGTTTTACTCCGGACGCACAACAAGCTAGACAGATTTGTCTCCATCGCTCTGCCCATGCACGCTGGACGCACCTGAATCATCATGCATGACCAGACGAACCTGTTCACGTTTGAGCAGTTTAGGTGGTTCGCTCATCTCATCGAACGAGCAGATAAATTCTCTGAATGTCCGCCAGATGTGTTCGATATAACTAGATGTGAATCAACAAACAGGTCGTAGCGTGGTTTGTGTGGTTCCCTTGGATCCTTTGGAATTATTTACCTGCATCTGAGAAAAGGCGGCTCTCCCAGACAACTGGAGAGAATGGGTTATAGTGTCCGTTTTCAAAAAAAGGAAACCGTGGTGATTGCGGTAATCACAGGAAGATCAACTTGACCCAAGTCGAAAGAAAATACTTGTCATCGCTTGTTATTTGTCGCTTTAAGGTGGCTCATTAAAAGCTGATTCAAGAGTAGCAAAAAACTCCCGCCTGTTCCGGTCCGCGTTGACCAAATCTTTGCATTCCATTAGTAAGTCGAACATTGCCATACTTATGGACGACCGGCGATCGCAGCATTCTTGGATTTCCAAGGCGCATTCTACTCGAGCAAACCGTTTGTTCTCCTTAACACACCTGCTCAGTAAGGAACGCCCCGAAAGTTTGTCAATATAGTAATATATTTGTACTCCCAGGCATCCTGGTCCGTGAGAATATACGGAGAGCTCTCCAAAAGCTTTCTACATAAATTGGTTTCCACCATGCGTGCCCACCTTCTCCATTCCTATTTAATTTTATGATGGACGAGACAGTGAGGCGGACGCTGTTAGGCCCTAAAAACCCTGATGTTCAAGTAGCTGCTGACAAAAACTTTTTCACTCTAGGATGTGAGACGACATTGTCCTCCCCTTCGAAGCGTGGGAGACGCAGCTATCTCTAGATGAACTGACCATAGTCATTCCTTGCGCTTTGCACCGAGCATGGACCACTGAACCCACCACTTGCACTCCATCGTGGGTCACTCGAGGTTGCACTTTACCTATCTTGAAAGTCAAATTACGTCCGATTGAATTGTTACGGATGAGATCATTGCACGAATCTCCAAAACCTGGGTCTCTTTTGCTAATTTGAGACACATATGGCTTCAACGCTGTATACCCTTGAGTCTCAATAAACGTGTATCGTGCTACACAATGAGCTATCTTGCTGTACGATTATGACGGTGAAACTGAGGTACGCGAACCATCTCGTGGTGCTTGATAGATAATCTGGCATCCTTTATGAGCCTTCATTTTACCAGCTACTGGTGCTATCCTTTGGTTTTCCGCTTGTTCCTTAATTTTAACTTCATTTTGCACATCTGTGTTATTGTGGTCTTAACACGAAGGTATTTGAATACTCAGACAAATGCAGTGGTTCAATTTCGTAAATACACAAGAGCAGTAGTCGGCTTCTGTCTAATGAGCTAACAGAAGCTTCGCTTCAAGAGCTTAATCCTTTAAATCCATGAATTAAAATTTCGGAAGGCGACTTTGAAAAACAAAGTTCCAGCAGGTTATTCACTCTGTGTGTACCTTATTGGCCGCCATCGTTGCTGATCAGTCTGCCCATAGCACAGTGACGGCAACTTCAAGCTTTCTGTTTGAAAACGTTCAAAGGGGCTGTGGAGCTGCAAATGGGACGGACTTCGAAGGTCAAAATGTTCGCGTCGTGCACTTGAATCTCGGAGTTTACCGCTGTGTTGTATTCCTAGAATGCCGCTTCGATGATGGTTTTAGTTATCCAGGATTTGATGGGCGGGAACCAGGCTCCCTCGCATTTGCCGGTGTTGTCCATATAATGCACCATTGATGCTCACACTCTCCGGTTGGATTAGGTGTCCATTCTGTCTCATGGATTCACTCAAATACGCTTTGAAAACTTTGAACATTTCTTGATCTGTATACCTTTGTAATTTATTACTCATAAGGTTGCTGAAAATCGGTCGACAGCCCTTTTTGGGGCTCATCAGGTAGGCGTAGTTCCGGAGTTTCCGTCAAACTTATGTTCTACTTGAAACCAAATTGCACGAAGTTACCGAATATACACTCATTTGCAAACTAATTTGGTCTTTCGAAAAGCTCACTTGGAACCCAGTTGAATCTCTCGTTTGTGATGTTCTCAGGCAAACGAGAGATTCAGCTGAGTTCCAGGTGAGTCTTGATTTGATTTTATCCAGATGGGTGAGGTCTGGATTGCATACTTGCTGTGAGCACGTTCAACCCTGAATTGATGCTCAAAAATTATGTTTCATGGTAATTTTGTCGGATTGATCGTTCGCTTATTTCCCGCTGCATTCCAATAAACAGTTTCCAGCACTGTATTTTGGGCGCTGTCGAAAGCTTCATCTGTTTTTTTATCCAACGCTTGCGTTTAACACATCTATCAAGGGGAATCGTGATTTGCGTTCTGAAACCTGTGAACACCGGACCCCAAATTAACAGAACGTAAGTTAGACACTCACAATTACCCTACTGTATAAAATTAGTTATCAGAGAATAAATGAAACCATAACCGTTTTACCATGACCGGCTCGTACAAAAATAATGATACGTGGGTTTGCCAAAACGTGAGTTAGCCAAATGAAGTTGTGCCACTGCTATATTTCACGGTTAGTTTTGTACACTGCAGAAAAAATTGATGGTCTCGTTTATGCATAGAAATATATCACTTCTAGCTTATCTCATTGCGGTTCACACTGACGTCTTCCGTGAAAAATTGACGCGCTAAGCATGACCGCTACAAGGATGCTGGTGTGAAATATTAGTATCCCGATTTTATGTCTTACTTTAAAGTTATTTCAGATTTTGTCCTTTCTGGTGTGTTGGTGATAAAATCTTACATCTGGGTTCCTCTTTAAAAGCAGGAATTCACAGGTGACAAGACATCCTGATACTGTTTTAGAAAAAACGGATATTTTCATGTTATCGAAGAACACTTTTGCTCCAGTAGAGTTTGGGTTCGAATTCCGTAAAAGAACGATACTCTCGAATGGGAGAATTACTGTAGCATCTGTCGTGTTACATTGCGTTCTTCCAGCAGTGCGCCTGCGCACCTGCAAGACAGTAAACGACAATGAAAACTCAGAAGCTTTCATTGTCAATTAATTACTTGGCAACATTCTAGGGTCCGATGGCTTTGGCCCTACCCTTTTCGTGTTTGATGAATCACTAGACGTGTCCAACATTACTTGGCGGAAACCCGGACTGCACGAGAAACTAGTGATGAATGAATAACTGCAGCTGCTTAGAGGTTTTATCACGATCTTGATAGGGCCTTAAAATACGCGCAGCCCGATCCAGATTGCAAGCCGTGACTCTGCGGTTTGGTTTCTCTTTCCCTCCTNCCCTCCTTCTCAGATTTATCTTTATGGTTTTGAATTGGCGTACCATTTTAAAACCTTAACTCCGTGCAATAAGTGGGACGGTGTAGCTGCAGAATTAAGGCTGTAGTGTGGTGTATTCCCTTTATTTTCCCCCGACCATTCAGCTGAATAACCAAAGCAATTTGAGGTTTCTTCGGAGGGAGCCAAGCTTGGACTGGTTTGCTTGTGTTTTTAGGAGCTGACAGTTTAAACAAGCTGTTTCTAGTGGCCACTGTAGACGACCCATCTTGGGATTTATGAAGTGCTAAAATGTATGGAGAAAAGGATCAGGCTCAAGAAAACCAGTGGGCTTGGCGCAGGAACAAGAGCTGTTGGCAGCAAGGGATATTGATGACATTACTATATTAATATTATTGATATAAATCATCCCGAAAAAAATTGGAACAAATAAATCCATCTCGATTCATGAAATGGTCGTAGTGGGGAGTGACCTATGGGTAAGGAAGAGTGGGTAAGAAATAACTACTTGTGAGAGCGAGGATATTCTGACGCATAGTCTCCATGAGCATTAGACTGTAGTGCATCACTTAAAGTTATGTGCCCACAGAAACCTGGTGAAAACCCCAATTAGACGTGAGAACCATGCGAGTAAAATGTGGAGACGAATTCGAAGAGTGCGGAGGTAGCTGTCGTCGACCGCGCCTAGGTATATTTTGATTAAAGTGTACTATCGGAGAGAGGAAGACCTTCAATTAGTCAGAAGTAGACAGAATAGCCATTTTGGTCACGAAAGATTATCAGCACCGGCGAGGTAACGGCGGAAAGACTTAGTGCATGAAGATAGTTTCAGTGGCTCAGAGTGGATTTCTGGTTACACATATAGTTTAAACTTTGCTGTAGGGACGAACTTGATGAATATGTTGATCCAGGTTGTCCTTATAATCCCAGCTTCTCCCGGTAACAGCACTCCC